AAAAACGTAAAATTAATATTTTTAAATAGAAAAAATATAAAATAAGTATTTTTAAATAAAAAATTAAAAATTTACTACCTTAATTAATACCAACAAAGTTTTGCATCTTTAATAATATGTTTGAATGGAGAGAAATAGAGGGTAAGGGAGGAGAAAATGTCTTTTTATTTGGTTATAAAAAAAATTGAAACGGAGGGCAGGAGAAAATTTTCTTTTATTTTTTCTTTTAATTTAGTTATTTATTCAAATAAAAAAAAGTGAGGGAAGGGAAATGAAAAGATATAATGCCTCCCTTCTATTCACCTTCCCTCCATTTCCCTTAACCCATATATAGAATAAATACAAAAAAATTGTAAAGTTAGCATTTTTATCTACACTTTTTATCTAACCTTTTAAATAACTTTCACGTGTTATTAAACAAAATGCATACAATATGATGGGTTTTATAAAGTAAAAAAAAATTATTGAAAAATATTTAAGATTGTATTGTATATATTTTATAAAAAAATATCTATCAATCATTTTCCTTATAGTAATACTAGTATGTTAGATTAGATGGGGAAGAAGATTAATTGGCAAGAAATCTCTGCATATGACCCTGATCAGGCTTACGTGAAATGCAGCGGTGTACTATGTGGAAGGAGTCCATAAGCAAATGTCCATCCGGAAAATGGTGATTGTTATTGAAATAAAAAGGGGTGTGAGGACAGGATTATTCTAGGCTCTGCTACTAAACCAAAATCCTCCCCATTTCCATTTATTCCATGGCACTGAGTTGGGGGATTGATAGTTTTTGTTAAAACTTAAGAGTGCATTGAAACGGTGTATAGCAGTTAATTCTTCTTATTTAGCAGCTATCTCAGTTGCTTTGATTCGTAGATTGCAAGTTTTTTTACTCCCTCTAGTTGTCACTTTTTTTGTGTGACACACTAAAAATGAAATTTAATAAATATTAAAAAAAATATAGTTATTAACTTATTATCCCTTTAAAATTCATTTTTTATCTCTTTTTTTAATAAAAGAATGAGTTTTTTTTTTAATATATGTCATTATAGTGGTTTAAAGTATCTTTTTATCATAAATATACATAAAAAATAAAAAATGATATTAATTTTAAAGTTGGTACTAAGTAAATAAATTTAATTAGATAATTAATTAACTAAAAGTTAATTTTTATTTTTTAAAATATAAATTTATGATAAAAATATATTTTCTTTTACACTCTTAGGATATAAATTAAAAAAAAACTCTAATATTATGTATGGGGTGATGGAGGGGAAGAAAGAGTTTTTTAATTAATTAAATTATAATATTTTTAAATATTATAATTTA